GTGAGGTTAGGTTGTGTTTGAAAAGTGTGTTTAAGAATCCTCAACATCATTTTCGAGTATCAACACGGCCGTTTTCGAAGACATCGGCCGCCCCCTGGCGCTAAAACATTGAGAACCTTCAGTTGGATTTCTACTCGCATTTATGAGAATGAACATTTCGTGTTCTCGGGGGCGGCCGATGTCTTCGAAAACGGCCGTGTTAGGTTAAAACTGTGCTGGAAAGTGTGTTATTTTTGTTCTCACTTTTCCAATTAATTTGTCCATTTGTCTATTATATGATAACTAACTTCAGGTTTAAAATGTCAACCTCAATTTTGACATATTTGTAATCTTCTCTAAAGACTCACGGCTAAACCCGAAACTTTCTAATTCTAGGTCTAGTGTTAGTTCTAGTTTCTTATCTTATGTTAATTAGCGCTATCTAAACTTCAAAATTACATACATATGTTCCTTTTAAAACGTCAAAATGACATTTATTGTTGCAAACATGAAATTTTCAGGTTGACATGTTATAAACCTTCAAAATGAAATGTTCCACGTTAACGTTGGAGACGTTTTTAACTAATTTTTAATAATAATAAGTCGAAATTAATAAATTAAGCGATTTTCGAAACGGTTATTACGAAAATTTTTGATTTTTATTTGGTTGGGGGAATTTTTTGGGTTGGTATTAATTTTTTTCTCGACTAACTTTGAGGTTAAATTTGACATTTAGAGGTTAAATAAAATAAATTCTTTAATTTCGTATATTGAATCACTTTAACGCATTTTTATGTTCTAATTGATATGAAAAAAGTCAATTTTTTATTCCTTCCTTACCTTTATTTATTATATTTATGATTTGTATTAATTTTTTGAATATTATCGATAAACCCAAAAAATAATAACAAATTGTAAGTACTTTTGTGATATATGATATAAAGATAAGTTTTTAATAATTTATGTTTCAGTTAATGTGGTGCTGTTGGAGAATCCAATATTTACAAAGAAAGAATCCAAAACTTCATCTTCGAGATTACCATGGAGATAATCGCCACTAAATAAAGCGTACAATAATATATATAAGGTAAGCTTTTTATACATAACATGTAATTTATGTATATTAACATATAAATGAACCAAAAGTAGTATTTTCCCCAAAATTTTAAACTTTAACCTCAAATTAATCAATTAATCGACACATAGATGTCGCCACTTACCAAAAACTTGAAATTGTCAAATCTTGCAAAGGGCGTTGAGGTTATGTTAAAACGTAATAACAAACTGATAATAGAAAAGGGCCCCACATGGCGAAATATATAGCTCAATTAATAGTAGCGGGTTCGCAAGTGATAGGTAGAGCGTTCGCTAGGGCCGTAAAAGAGGAAATAGCCGCATCGCAAGACGCCGCAAAAAGGTTAGGTAATAATAAAACGAGGGCCGAACGACTAAACAACACGAAAACGGGGCTTTCGCTCGAAGAGGCCAAACAAATTTTGAATATTGATAAATTGGATGTGGAGGAAATTAATAAACGTTACGATCACCTATTTAAAGTTAACGATAAAGGAAGTGGGGGATCGTTTTATATACAATCGAAAATCGTGAGAGCCAAAGAACGAATCGATATGGAATTTAACGCGACGAAAGCATCGGAAGGTCCGCCTAAAGTGTAAAAGTTAATTTTAGTTGTGTAGATGAAGAATGTGTAATTAATTAGAAAAGATAATTAAATTTATTCGTTTTATTTGTTAATTAATTTTTATCTAAACTTTGTTACATAAAAGTTTCATTTTATTGTCGACGTAGCTTCTTGAACAGCCTTCGTTTTGTGCGTCCCATCACAAAACGGTCTATTATTAGTTTGTTTACAATTACACAACCAATAATCTTTCGTTTTTTCAACTTGGAACCGAATCGGCCTAAAATCATTTTTTACAATTCAATGGTAACAATTTTTTATCTTACTTTTGTTTGATTTTTAATTGTGGGATCTTATGGGTCCCATCGCATAAAGGCTGATTCTTCGACCGCCCACACAAACACCACGAATATTTCTTTTCTATCAAAATCATAAAGAAAAAGCATGTTTTACGTATTATTATTATAAAGTGATTTACCAGTTTCTAAACGCATTTTAAAAGGTTTTTTGTCATAAACTATCCCATTTTCTGGTTGTTTATCGGCTGAAATAACCCCGGTTAAAACGTTTTTGGGAATATTAGCTTCATTTGAGAAGTTAACCTAAAAAAAATGAGGTTATGTTTACCTTGATTTAAGAAAATCGATTTTATA